CCAGAGCCCAGGGACCTGCTCCAGCCTCATCCTCCCTGCTGGGCTAGGCCCTGTCCATCTCCCTCCCCTGCTCCGCGTCTCCTCCCCACCGGGCTGGGCCGACGCTGCCCCCTCCTGGTCCCCTCCTGCCTCTCTGGCTGCTCTGTGTCTCCCCCTCCCCCCTGCCCCATTGTCTGGGGGATCCCCAGGGCTCTGGCCTGGCCCCTTTGCTCTTCTCACGCCACATCCCGTCTTTGGGCCACCTCCCCCACCCCAGACCTCCAGCTTCACCTCCTCGGCGGGGAAGGGCAGGGAGGAGAGGGCGTCTTTGTGGTCACCTTACACTGAAAATGACTTCCCAAAACTCCTGACCTTCCCCCAAACATCCCCTCCCTCCATCTCTGTTCCCGGCCCCTTCTGCCCATGGAGGGGAGGGAAAGTGTTTGACTCAAGGAATCACTCACAGGGTCTGATCCAGCCGGGCGCCGTCCAGCCAGGTCCAGGCCTTCTCCGGGGAGGGGACGGACAGTCCGACCCAGAACTGAGACACGTCTCGTGTCAGGTCCTGTAGGGACTCCTGCAGGAAATGTGGGACAGGCAGCTGGTGACCAGAACCTGCTGTCGGTTCTTTTCTTGCAAATCCAAGTTCTCAACAACTTTAGCACCAGAACTACTGTCTGGCTGTTCATCTATCCCTATACACACCTATCCATCCTCACACATACCTGTCTATCTCTCCAACTATTCCCCATCTATACTCTTCTGTCCATCCATCCCCACACCTACCCCCCTCTCTCTGTAGCCCTCAATCTTCATAACTCTCTCTCTCTCTCTCCCTCCCTCTCTCTCTCTCTCTCACACACACACACACACACACACACACACAGCCCTCTCTCCAGCTGACTTGTGTTGGGAACATCTCAGAAGGGGGAAGGTACCGGTAGCTTTAAGCCGCCATTGTGTGTCCCTGATCTCAGGGCTGGTGATTTAGGCTGGGATTTGTCAAAGCTGCCTAGGGGGTTTGGACACCCTGTTATTAACAATTAATGGGAATGGGGTGTCCAAGTCCTTTAGGTAGCATTGACAATCCTAGACCTACCATGTAGCCTATATGCCCTCGGACTCTGTACCCAGGGCCCAGTCCTGTGGGGGCAGCTCCAGCAGGAAGGTATCATCCCCTTTACCAGCTCCTCCCGGTCCCGGATCACCAGCAGCTGGGAGCCCCTCGCTGAGCAGTCGGCTCGGCTTTCGCTCCACGTTTTACTTCCTCCAGAGACCCAGTAGCACTTGTCCCCGCGCAGCCGCCAGTCCGTGGGGCAGAGTTTGCACCCAGAGCCCCCTGCAGAGAGACAGGCGTCATTAATGCTCTGAGCCCTCTGGGCCTCGTTCCCGGCTACTCCCGTCCTGAGACTGGGGCAGGAACAGGGTTCAAATGGGTTTGAGTCCCCTTTGTGCTCCCTGAAATCTGGGGCTGGGCTGGACCCTGCCTGGCTCCTGGCGTCAGTTACAGCAGCCTTGCAGCTGCTCTGCCTTATCCATTGCTCCCATCTGGGCCCTGGGGAGCAGAGAACACCCATAGTGCACTGCGCTCTAGCCACACACGCCAATCTGCTCCCTACTTTGGGGGTTGGGAACAAGGTGTGTGAGGGGCTCTTACCCCAGCTCCACACAGGCAGGGAGGTCTCCAGGGCAGAGGGCATCTCATGGGGCTATTTGCATCCATTTTAAGGGTACATTATTCTGCCAGAGTGGCCTAGAAGGGGCTTCGGACAACTGAAGATGTGTTGGGGGCTGGTTCGTGGCAATCTAACAGGATATGGGAGGGGAGGTGGTAACTGGGGAGAACAGGAGAGGAGGTGGGATCCCAGGGATGGCTGGGAATGGGAGGGGGTGAGTCCATGAGACCGTCTCTCTGCTGGGATCTGTCCCTGCTCTGCAAACATTTGGCCATCCAGGTATTACATTATTGTAAGACTCCCCCTTTAGCAGTACCGGGCATGGCCACTAGATGTCGCCCCCCCCCCACACAGTCTCAGCAGAGGCCCCAGGCCCAGTCCCAGCTGAGGCAGGTACATTCATAGCCTGGCACCGAGCGGGGCTGGTGGCTAGATCGGTGCAGCCAGCAGGGGGCGGCGTGTCCCTGCCCCGCAGGATCCCCAGGGGCTGGGACGGCAGCTGGGCTTCCACTGGCAGTGCCCGGGGCAAAGGGCGGCTCAGAGACACACGAGCTGGGGTTACCTGCTGGGCCGGGCTGGGCCGGGTGGCACAGATGTTGGCTCAGCTGGGATCGGAAACGCTCCAGGCGGGCGCTGCATTCTGCTGTGCTGGGGTCTGCGCTCCCAGGGGGTGTTGGTGTATCTCTGCTCCCGGCTCCATCGCTCCCAGAGGCTGCCGGGCTCTGTCCCTTCTCAGACATGAAGTGGGAAACTGCAAAGCAGCGTCGGTGGGAGTGAGGTGACGGGTCAATGTGACGGGGAGTTGCTGGGTAAAAGCACCGGCAGAGACAGAGGGCCTGGCCCAAAGCCCGTTCAGCCCCATCTCCACTGACTCCCGTGGGCTTCAGAACAGCCCTAAAGGGCCACAGTCCAAAAGAGCAGCTTGGGATTGAAAATCAGTGGGAGTTGGGTGCTTAAATCCCTTGGGCCTCTTTGCAAACTCAGCTCATCTTTGCATCTAAGTTATCCAGCCTCCATCAAAGCAGTATCAGAACCTCAGAGTCTGTGCTAGATTCTCCTCCCAACCCCTCTCTGTGGGGCAGGGCACAGGGCTGTTATCCCCATTGTACAGGTGGGGAAACTGAGGCACAGAGCGCCTCACAGTGGCGAGGACCAGCCTGGGTTCCGGGCTGGGGACAGGCCACCTGAGCTGCCCCTCTGGGGCTGCAGGTTCAATACAGTGTAGCCCTCCTCAATGTGCATCCTGCCTTGGCAAGAGGAGGGGCTGGGAGCCATGTGGGCTGGGGTGGCGATTGCACCGGAAGCGAAGACACTGGACTGCAGCCGTGTGGGCGTCAGGGTGGCGGTCACAGCGTCCGGCGTCAGGGGCTTTCTGATGCTATGGAATTTGGCTCAGTCAAAACAGGGCTCCCAGATACCTCCCCCGCCAATGCAGCCACCCTGAGGGGCACAGCCTGTCTGTTGTGGAGTTTATCTGGCCCCTGTCACTTGCTGTCTCTGTCCCTCACCCACATTCCCTGTGAAGAAGGGGAGGCTCATGGGGACAGATTATTCAAGGGGTTTAGGCACTTAAAGTTGCAGAGAAGCCCCGAGTGAGGTTTTCAGCAGCACCTAGGCCCAAATCCTCAGCAGGATTTAGGTGCCTAACTCCCTTGGGTGTTGGGCACCTAAATACATTTGAGAACCTGGGCCCTACGAGCCCAGTTCCCATTGACTTCAATAGGCATTAGGCACCTAGTGGGTTGTTTTTAGGTGCCTAGATGCATTGATAGGTACCTAAACCCCTGTGGAATTCCAGCCTTAAGGGACCAGCCCAAGGTCACACGGGGAATCAGTGGCAGAACCAAGAACTGGTCCCAGAGCTCCTGAGTCCCAGATTAGCACCAAAACCAGTGGGCAGCCTTCCTCTCGGGATGCCTGTGAGCTCCCGCCCAGTCCCCCATCCCGCTGCGAACAGCCAGCTCCGTCTGACATGTCAGCCCGGCGATGAGAACACAACATTCAGGGGAAACATTCCCAGATACATTTTGGGCACGTCCTTTCTCCATTTTATCCACTAGCTACATTTCCTCACTATTACGTGTTGAGGACAGTTGTATTGAAACACCCAAGGCTGATGAAAAGCTGGGGGGACACTAGGACATTTCCCCCTA